TTTGGTCCGACGCGGCAACCGGGGAGGGGGAGGGGGGGAGGGCATGAGGCATGGTGGGGTACAGGGGGGGGGGGAGGGGGGGAGGGGGGGTTGGTGGTACACTCACGCGCTGTGGAGGTATGGGTGGATGTGTGCGGACGGGCGGGTGCTATGGCTGCGGGCGGAAACAGAGCCACAACCAGGGCGAGGTGCCACCGCCGCGCGGGCACGTGCCGCCTTCGCCTGATGAGGAGGCCTCGCAGCGAGCGCTAGTGGAGCTGCTGCGGCGGGTACGTTGGACATGACAGGAGGGAGGGAGAAGAAGGGGGGAGAGGGGAGGATCACAGGCGCACTCACTCACCATCACGCGCCAACCATGTGCGGCCATCACGGTGCGATGCTCGCGGGTATGCAGCTGTCGTCGGGGACCATCGGCAAGCGCCCGTTCTACATTCGGTCAGTGGCGGTGGAGGGCAACGACGCGACGCGACTGGACGTGATCGAGGCCGAGCTCAAGGCCGCACTGGAGGCCGGGACACTGGAGGAGGTGCTCAACGAGCTTGTGGAGGCGCAGGCACGGCTGGCGTGCATGGATCTGTTCAAGTCGATCGATGTTCACTGCGACGAGGCCAAGGGCGATCACGGTCGAGCACAGGCTACGGACGTCACCATTGTTGTCGAGGAGCGCAACCGGCTGACGGCCAAGACCGGGACCACCGTCGACGTCAACGACGGCAACGTCATGGCTGCGGTCTACCTCCGCAATCTGTTTGGCGCCGGCGAGCGGCTGGAGGTCGACTGGTCGACGGGGACCAAGGTCACCTCGTTCTTCAAGGCCGCGTACACCAAGCCGAACCTCGCCAACTACGGCGAGGAGTGGCAGGTCGCCGCTTTTAAGGACAACACCGACTTTCAGGCCGTCTCGTCGTTCAACGTCAAGACCAAGGGCGTGACTCTCACGTACACCATTCCCACGGCGTATTTTGACCACATCGTCGGCTACGCAGGCGTCTGGCGCGAGGTCTGCAAGCTCCCAGACAACGCCTCGTTCTCCATCCGGTCCATGGCGGGCCACTCGGTCAAGTCGGCCATCACCCACGCCGCAGTCATGGAGCGCCGCGACGACCCGGTCCTGCCGCGCTCCGGCTACGCGCTCAAGATCTCTCAGGAGCTGGCCGGCCTCGGCGGCTCGGCTGCTTTCCTCAAGCATGAGGCCAAGGCCTCGGCGTCGGTCACCGTCGCCGGCCGCTGGACGCTGACCGGCCTGGTCGCCGGCGGGCTAGTCGTGCCACTGATGGCGGACGGGCTCTCCACCGTCGACGCCTTCCACCTCGGTGGCTCCATGGACGTCCGCGGCTTCCAGACCTTTGGCATCGGCCCGCACGCCCCGCGGAAGCTCCTTTCGCGCGCTGCACCCGTCGCCGCCGCAGACGCCCACCACTCGGACGCCGTCGGCGGCGACGCCTACTGGAAGGCATGCCTTCATCTCTACCACCGCCTCCACGACACTTGGGGCATCTACGGTCAGGCCTTTGTCAACGCAGGCAACCTCCTCCTCGCTGCACAGTCGCCGCGCCGCTTCGCCTCGCGTGACCTCGTCTCCCAGGCCCGCGTCGCCGTCGGCGCAGGCCTCGCCTTCCGCACCGCCATCGGCCTTGTCGAGCTCAACTACACCGTCCCACTCCGCACCATGCCCGGCGACCGTGTCCAGCACGGCTTCCAGTTTGGCATCGCCCTCAACTACTTTTAGCTGATACTGCTTCGTTCACGCTCTTCACCACGCTGCTCCACACGCTCGGACGGCAAACAAGGTTAAAGGTCGACCGTCGTACTCATCGTAACCGACAGCCGCCGGCTGCTTCGGCTTCCGGATGCAACTGGCCACCGGCTACCGCCGGCCACCGGCCACCGGCCACCGGCCACCGGCCACAGGCCACAGGCCACCGCGACCCACCGCACCAGCCACCAACGCCACAAGGCCGTCACCAAGCCAGATTCCACTTCTCCCCGCCCCCTCCCCATCCCAACTCATCCCCCACAACCCATCCCATCCACCCACATGTACGCCGCTCTCCCTCTAACTCCACCCACCCACCTCCCCTCACTCCTTCCCCTCCGACTCGCCCTTCCCCATCCCCCTGCCCCACCCAGGGGAGGGATCCCGCGCCTTGGACACTTTTTTGCCGTCGCAGCCCCTCCCCCTCCCCCTCCCCCCCCCCCTTACTCCCGTCCACACATGCTCGCTCTCACACTCACACGTGCGTGGAACACACCGGTTAGTCCAGCCATGTCAGACAACGAAGACGTGCGTGCTGTCGAGCCCGTGGAGGCCGGCAAGACCGAGGCAGAGGCCATGGCCCAGGACGCCGCTCCGGCTACTGACGTCGCCGATGGCAAGGCCGAGGAGGCCGAGAGCACAGAGGTCAAGGCGCCGCGGCCAAAGCCGGCAGCGGTGCGCAAGCCGGACTTTGACAAGCTGAAGGAGGAAGAGGCGGTGATCCAGGTCGACATCGACGCGGCGCACGAGGAGCTGCGGCGAATCAAGGCCGAGCTGGACTCGAAGGACTCGTCGTCCAAGGAAATCATGGCGACGCGCGACAAGGAGCAGCAGGTGCTCAAGGACATCCACAAGCAACAGAAGAAGCTGCAGGGCGCGCGGCGCGAGATTGTGGGCCGCATCGAGGAGCAGCGGGCGCGCAACAAGAAAGTCGAGGCCAGCCAGGAGGCGCTGCGGCGGCACCTGGGCAAGTACAACACGGTGGAGAAGATCGAGTCGCGTATTGCTGCCCTCGAGTCGGCGATCGAGACCACGGCGTCGTCGCTGCGCGACGAGCGCGAGCTCCTTGCGCAGATCACGGCGCTCAAGCGCGATCGGACTGCGGTGGTCGAGTACGAGGCGCTGACGGCGGCGGTGGCGGCCAACAAGGCCGCGCTCGACCCGCTGTACGAGGAGCTGCGGGCAAAGGAGGCTGAGATCAAGGAGCTCAAGGCTGTCGAGTCTGAGCAGCACTCGACTGTTGTCTCTCTCCGCAACCGGATTAAGGACGCCCGCGGCAACTCGCCGTCGCTGTGGAAGCAGCGCAAGGAGGTCAAGTCCAAGCTCGACGCGCTCTACGATGCGCGCCGCAAGCTGCGCAACGATTTCCGCGCATCGAAGAAGGCATACTCCAAGTACTGGAACGAGCTCAAGAAGTGGAAGGACGAGATGTTTGCCGCGCGGCGTGCCGAGCGCGAGGCCGAGCGCAAGGCTGAGGCTGCCGCCGAGGCCGCCGCCCGCGCCGAGGACGAGCGTGAGCTCATCCCGCACATTGCCGAGATGAAGATCTGCTCCGCGCTCATCGGCTACCTGCAGGACGCGCTGACCAAGGCATCGGTCCCGTTCACCGCAGTCGACACCCAGGTCCTCATCTACGGCGAGGGCATTTCGGTCCCGGGCCTCGACGACGCTACCGATGCTGCCAAGCCTGCCGGCCTGCCGTCGCTGCCCAAGCCGCGGCGGGTGGCCCGCGACAACGCGCCGACCGGCCGCCGCATTGGCAAGAACGCCGAAGACGACGACGACTCGATCGGCCGCCACGGCCGTATCCGCAAGAAGGGCGGCAAGAAGCGCGGAGGCAAGAAGAAGAAAAAGGCCATCCTCTCCATGGCCCCGCAGGTCATGGCTGACTTTGCCAAGGTTGGCCTCGAGGCTCCGCTCGAGCTCGACGCCGTCCCGGCCGCCATCGACGCCCTCGTTGCCCGTATTGGCGACTACAAGGACGGCAAGCCGCCCAAGATCGCCAAGGCTGCTGGCGCCAAGGCCAAGGCCGGCACGGCCAAGGCTGAGCAGACGCCGCCCGAGTCGTCGGCGCCGCCGGCATCCTCCGCCGCGCCTCTCTCCAACGGCCCGCCCGGCTTTGGCGCCATCGGCGACGGCTCGCGGGTCCCTGCGCCTGTCAGCCCCGCACCGGTCCCGACCGCCACCGGTGGTGTGTCGTATGCTGCGCTCGCGGCCGCATCTGTGACCGAATGAACATCGAGGCCTGCAGCGGTTGCTTTTACCCCCCCCCCACA